TCTTATACGCGGGCGTCGTCTTATACGCTGGAGTAGCCTTATGCATGGGGGTCGTCTTATATTTGGGAGTAGTCTTATATGTTGGGAGTCATCTTATAGAGCGGGTGCTGAAGCTTCCAATCCGGATTGGAGAATCTGTGGTTGCTGCATATTGTTGGGGGGAGCTCAAAAATGTCAGTGGCCGCGTCCCTGCCGTATGCAGCGACTGTATGAAAGGATTAAGGGCAACGCTGTACAAGTATGGTAGAAGAAAATCCATTCATCAGGATTCGTGGATTTAATGTGGTCCCGATGGTGAGGTGAAGGGGCGCCTCACCAGGAAGGTGTAAGTGAAGGGCGGAGCAAGCTGCAGGTGCCTGGGGTGGGGTATGGAAAAAAGAGATAGAGTGGCTCTGGGCCCAGAAAAACACACCTCTTTTACCTGTCTGGCCCGCCCTTGTATCCTATTACCGTACCTCCTCCTCTGCCTCTCAGATCTCGCTCCTGAAGACTGCAATGAAGTGGTGCAGGTGCGCATGTGCGAGATCTGAGAGGCAGAGAAGGAGGTACAGTAATAGGAAAATTACCATATTGAAATCAAATCTGATGCTTTTAAAATGTTTATTTGGTGTGTGTTGGAAGAGGGGTAGTCTTATACAGCGAGTATATCCCAAACTCTATATTTTAACTGGAAAAGTTGGGGGGGTCATCTTATACGCCCAGTCGTCTTATATGCCAGAATATACGATACTCACTGTGCACCTATAAAGTAAACAGGGGCAGATGAGGGCAAGAAACCCACTTGATCAAACATTATTGCTATCATCTGTTTGCTCAAAAATGTAAAGGATGTTCACCCCCAATTCTTTTTCTGACACTGTCATAAACCTCTTCTGGATTTCAGTTTCTTCCTGAAAGAAAGCTAGACTACAAAGTGTACAATTAAGTTTGTACAGAATAAAAATTATTAGGGTTAATGGTACCTTTTCTTTAATGGACATGACTCAGAAATAATTGAACTCTTATTGCTGTATATCCAGGGAACCATTCCCCAAATGGCAAGGCCATAAATATAACCAGCAATTGTTACACATTAGTTAAATTCATACAAAGCCTCAAGTGATGATCTGACAGTTGGATTATGACTCTGGAAAACCTGCTCAGCCGCTGAAACTCACAGAGTCACCTTGGGCAAGTTATGCTCTCTCCGCCAAAGAGGAAGGCAGGGTGGACATTATCTGAATAAATGCTGTCAAAGAAACCCCAGGACAGGGTCACCAAAAGTCCAAATTGACTTGAAGACACACAACAACAACCATTTCAAAATGTAAGCTCATTCATATATCTTGACCCAACAATGTGATGCGGCGGCAAAAAAAGCCAATGGGATTTGGCCTGCATCAATAGGAGTATAGTGTCTAGATCCAGGGAAGTCATGCTACCCCTCTATTCTGTTGGTTAGACCACACCTGGAATATTGTGTCCAATTCTGGGCACCACAATTGAAGAGAGATATTGACAAGCTGGAATGTGTCCAGAGGAGGGCGACTAAAATGATCAAGGGTCTGGAGAACAAGTCTATGAGGAGCGGCTTAAAGAGCTGGGCATGTTTAGCCTGAAGAAGAGAAGGCTGAGAGGAGACATGGTAAGGGCCATGTATAAATACGTGAGAGGAAGTCATGGGGAGGAGGGAGCTAATAAATCATCTCGGTGGCTTCTGCTTCAACTTGGTGAGATTTATTTTGCAATATTGGCTTCTCCTTTCTCACCAGGCAATCCACAATGGCTTGGGCCTAATCCACAGCCATTCTAAATTGCTCTACAACAGTTATGTGTCTCTAAGTCAATGCCACCGCATCACATTGTTGGCTCATGTTTAACTTGTTGTCCACGAGGACCCCAAGATCTTTTTCACATGTACCACTGTCGAGCCACACGTCCCCCATTCTGTATCTTTGCATTTCATTTTTTCTGCATATGCTCACTCTCTTCCGGACTATGGCTCCCAGCATCCCCTAGACCAGGCCTTTTAGGAGAGGATGATCCAAATGCACTTCTTCCAAGATGCAAGTTTTCTTCTCCTTGGATCTCTCTGAGAGCATCCCAATCCCTGCATGTTTCCAATTTCCTATTCCTGGACTGCAACTCCCAGCAATCCTCCAGATCAGAGGTCCTCAAACTTTTTAAACAAAGGGCCAGGTCACAGTCCTTCAAACTGTTGGAGGGCCGGATTATAATTTGAAAAAAAAATGAATGAATTCCTATGCACACTGCACATATCTTATTTGTAGTGCAAAAACACTTACAAACAATACAATAATTAAAATGAAGAACAATTTTAACAAATATAAACTTATTAGTACTTCAATGGGAAGTGTGGGCCTGCTTTTGGCTTATGAGATAGGATTGTTGTTGTAGTTGTGTGTCTAGTCGTTTCAGACTTAGATTGACCCTGAGCGAGGGCCGGGTAAATGACCTTGGAGGGCCGTGTCCGGTCCCCGGGCCATAATTTGAGGACCTCTGCTCCAGATCGATAAGATAAATAGATTAGATCAGTGGTTCTCAACCTTCCTAATGCCACAGCCCCTTAATACAGGTCCTCATGTTGTGGTGACCCCCAACCATAATGTTATTTTTGTTGCTACTTCATAACTGTAATTTTGCTACTGTTATGAATTGTAATGTAAATATCTGATATGAGGAATATATTTTCAGTCCCTGGACCAAATTTGGCACAAATACTCGATACGCCCAAAATTTGAATACTGGTGGGGTCGGGGAGATTGATTTTGTCATTTGGTAATGCTGGAGTTACTGGGATTTATAGTTCACCTTAAATCAAAGAGCCTTCTGAACTCCATCAATGATGGAATTGAATCAAAAATAGCACACAGAAATCCCACGACCAAGAGAAAATACTGGGAAGGTCTGGTGGACATTGACCTTGAGTTTTTGGAGTTGTAGTTCACCTACATCCAGAGAACACTGTGGACTCAAACAATGATGGATCTGGATCAAACTTGGCACAAATACTCAATATGCCCAAATGTGAACACTGTTTGGAGAAAATAGACCTTGCCATTTGGGAGTTGTAGTTGTTGGGATTTATAGTTCATCCACAATGAAATAGTATTCTCAACCCCACCAACGATACAATTGGACCAAACTTTCCACACAGAACCCCCATGACCAACCGAAAATACTATGTTATCTGATGGTCTTTGGCGACCCCTCTGACACCCCCTCGTGACCCCAACAGGGGTCCCGACCCCCAGGTTGAGAAACACTGGATTAAATAGAGATAGATAGGTAGACAGGTACATAAATCAATCAGGAGGACTGCTGGGAGTTGCAGTCCAATAATAAGTAGAGAAGGAAGAAAGGGGAGAAAGGAGAAGGGAAAGAAAAGGGGGGGGGAGAGATGAAGAGAAGGAAGGAAGGAAGGAAGGAAAGAGGGAGGGAGGAAAGGAGAGAAAGAAAGGAAAGAGGGAGGGAAGGACGGTTGGGCACAGCAACGCATAGCAGGTACAGCTAGTAAATAAATCATAGAATCATAGAATCAAAGAGTTGGAAGAGACCTCATGGGCCATCGCGTCCAACCCAGTGCCAAGAAGCAGGAATATTGCATTCAAATCACCCCTGACAGATGGCCATCCAGCCTTTGTTTAAAAGCTTCCAAAGGAGCCTCCACCACACTCCAGGGCAAAGAGTTCCACTGCTGAACGGCTCTCACAGTCAGGAAGTTCTGACTGTGAGAGCCGTATATGGTGAGGATGTATTGTCGAAGGCTTTCATGGCTGGAATCACTGGGTTGTTGTAGGTTTTTCGGGCTATATGGCCATGGTCTAGAGGCATTCCCTCCTGACGTTTTGCCTGCATCTATGGCAAGCATCCTCAGAGGTAGTGAGGTCTGTTGGAACTAGGAAAAAGGGTTTATAGATCTGTGGAATGACCAGGGTGAGACAAAGGACTCTTGTCTGCTGGAGCTAGGTGTGAATGTTTCAACTGACCACCTTGGTTAGCATACAATGGGCTGACTGTGCCTGGAGCAAACTTTTGTTGAGAGGTAATTAGATGTCCCAGCCTGCTTCCTCTCTGTTGTTGTGCTGCTGCAGTTTTAGAGTTTTTTAATACTGGTAGCCAGATTTTGTTCATTTTCATGGTTTCCTCCTTTCTGTTGAAATTGTCCACATGCTTGTGGATTTCAATGGCTTCTCTGTGTAGTCTGACATGGTGGTTGTGAGAGTGGTCAGCATTTCTGTGTTCTCAAATAATATGCTGTGTCCAGGTTGGTTCATCAGGTGCTCTGCTATGGCTGACTTCTCTGGTTGAAGTAGTCTGCAGTGCCTTTCATGTTCCTTGATTCGTGTTTGGGCAATGCTGCGTTTGGTGGTCCCTATGTAGACATCTAATTACCTCTCAACAAAAGCTTGCTCCAGGCACAGTCAGCCCATTGTATGCTAATCAAGGTGGTCAGTTGAAACATTCACACCTAGCTCCAGCAGACAAGAGTCCTTTGCTCTCACCCTGGTCATTCCACAGATATATAAACCCTTTTTCCTAGTTCCAACAGACCTCACTACCTCTGAGGAGGCTTGCCATAGATGCAGGCGAAACGTCAGGAGAGAATGCCTCTAGACCATGGCCATACAGCCCGAAAAAACCTACAACAACCCAGTGATTCCGGCCATGAAAGCCTTCGACAATACATTGTTTCTTTATTTTTACCCTGCTTTTTTCTCCACAAGGAGACTATTATTATAATTATCTTGCCCCGTATAGGGGGCAGCCATTCTCCCCACACACCTCCCCTCCCCTCCGCCTTCCCACCCTCAGGTTGAAAGTTCTCCTTTGCTCCCCACTTGTGGCTATCGGGGGCGCGCGCTCTCCCTCTCCTCCCCTTGGGCGCGTGCCCTGGCGTGGCGAGGGGGTGGGGCTCTTCCTCCGGGCTTCCCCCTCCCGGCCCCTCCCCCTGCTCCTTCCCTCCCTCCCTCCCCCCCTCCCTCCCTCCCCCGTGACATCAGCGAGGAGGTCCCTGCCGCGGCCGCCCAGGGGACGCCCCCGCCTTGCCTTGCCTCGCCTCCCTGGCGGAGAGAAAGGATGAGAGAGCCCCGGAGTTGGCTGCCTGCTTGACCCCCTGACCGCCTGCGCTGGATCTATCTGCCTTGGCCGCGCTTCTACTCCTCCACATCCGGCTGGAGAGCAGCGGAGAGGTAAGCCGCTCCGAGAGGCGCCCATGGAGGGGGGGGGGGTCAGTACTGAGTGCCTCCTCTCTCTCTCTCCCTCGCCCCCCCCCCCCCAAGCGCCAGCCTGCAAAGCGGAATGGATCCATTGGCTGGCTGCCTCCTTGAGAAGGCGCCTCGGGTGTTGGAAGGAGCCACTCCCACCACACTTTCCGAGACTTGCTGCGGGTTGCTTCTTGATGCGGATTAGTTTCCCCTCCCCAGGGCCCCCCGCTCCTGGGGTCTGTAATTGTATCGAGTTAGTGGAGACTTTCCACGGGAAAGGGAGGGGGGCTCGTTTCTCTTCGGCATGGCTTCGGGGCTTTAGGGGTGCCCCCCCTTCTTTGGACTCCAGGTCTGGGGGCGTCTGCTTCTCAGGCTGGGGAGTCTCCCCTCCCAAAGAATGCCGCCTGGACTTCATTCCACGGCCAGTGTAGTGCAGACCCATAGAAACACATACTATATAGGTCTACGCCAGGCATGGGCAAAGTTCGGTCCTCCCTCCAGGTGTTTTGGACTTCAACTCCCACAATTCCTGTTAGGAATTGTGGGAGTTGAAGTCCAAAATACCTGGAGGGAGGGCCGAAGTTTGCCCATGCACGGCTGTTAGGAATTGTGGGAGTTGAAGTCCAAAATAACTGGAGGGAGGGCCGAAGTTTGCCCATGCACGGCTGTTAGGAATTGTGGGAGTTGAAGTCCAAAATACCTGGAGGGAGGGCCGAAGTTTGCCCATGCACGGCTGTTAGGAATTGTGGGAGTTGAAGTCCAAAATAACTGGAGGGAGGGCCGAAGTTTGCCCATGCACGGCTGTTAGGAATTGTGGGAGTTGAAGTCCAAAATACCTGGAGGGAGGGACGAAGTTTGCCCATGCACGGCTGTTGGGAATTGTGGGAGTTGAAGTCCAAAATACCTGGAGTGAGGGACGAAGTTTGCCCATGCACGGCTGTTGGGAATTGTGGGAGTTGAAGTCCAAAATACCTGGAGGGAGGGACGAAGTTTGCCCATGCACGGCTGTTGGGAATTGTGGGAGTTGAAGTCCAAAATACCTGGAGGGAGGGACGAAGTTTGCCCATGCACGGCTGTTGGGAATTGTGGGAGTTGAAGTCCAAACTACCTGGAGTGAGGGCCATAGTTTGCCCATGCCTGGTCTACACTGACCATATAAGGTAAAACTTTTCCCCTGACATCAAGTCCAGTCGTGTCCGACTCTGGGGGTTGGTGCTCATCTCCATTTCTAAGCCGAAGAGCCGACATTGTCCGTAGACACCTGCAAGGTCATGAAGCTGGCCAACCTGCATGGAAGCTTTTAAACAGAGGCTGGATGGCCATCTGTCAGGGGTGCTTTGAATGCAATATTCCTGCTTCTTGGCAGGGGGTTGGACTGGATGGCCCATGAGGTCTCTTCCAACTCTTTGATTCTATGATTCTATGAACACCCTTACCTTCCCGCTGGAGGTAAGGTACCTATTGATCTACTCACATTTGCATGTTTTCGAACTGCTAGGTTGGCAGAAGTTGGGGCTGACAGCAGAAGCTCACACCACTCCCCGGATTTGAACCTACGACCTTTTGGTCAACAAGTTCAGCAGCTCAGCGGTTTAACCCACTGCGCCACCGGGGGCTCCATATAGCGCAGTCCAAACTGCATTCCTTTGCAAACGTATCCCATGGCTTTTTCTTGGTCCATTTGGAGGCTTTCAATGGGAGAAGAGCAGGCGGGAAACCCTGGTTCCTTGCGAGATTTTGGAGGGTTATTGGTCGGGTTTTACATATGGAGACACTCAGAGCGAGACTTGTTGTCACTGGCTTGGGTTAGGATCATTGGGTTGGAACCTAAGCCCCTTCCACACCACACAATTTCTGCTTTGAACTGGAATATATGGGAGTGTGGACTCAGATAACCCAGTTCAAAGCAGATATTGTGGGATTTTCTGCCTTGATATTCTGGGATATAGGGCTGTGGAGAAGGGCCCTGGGATATAGGGTTGGGGGGGGGCTGAGTTTGGTTCGGGGGGGGGCTGAGTCTGGGTGAAAGAGGGTCTACCCTAGCAAACCTTTTGTATCGTTACCCCAATACCCCCATACACATGAGATATATTGAGCATGGTGATCAGATCATGATATTAATAAACATAACAGTTTAAATAATGTACCAGTAAGGCCTTCTCACGGACCACCATGAGAATTTGGGGGGGGGGGGGGGGCTGAAGCTACATGCCTGGCTGTGTGGAAGGGCCCCTAGCGGACCCTGTGAATTTGTGGGGCAAACACTAGGAAGGAGGAGGATCATAAGGTTGGAAGAGACCCCAAGGGCCATCCAATCCAACTCTCTGCCCAGCAGGAAAAGCACAATCAAAACCCCCTGACAGTTGGCTACCTAGCCTCTGTTTAAAAGCCTCCAAAGAAGGAACCCTCACCACACTGCAAAGCAGAGAGTTCCACTGTTACATAGCTCTCACAGTTAGGAAGTTCTTCTTCACGTTCAGGTGGAATCTCCTTTCCTGTAGTTTGAACCCAGTCCTAGTCTCCAAGGCAGCGGAAAACAAGCCTGTTCCCTCTTCTTTATGACATTCCTGGCAATCGTGTCCCCTCTCAGCTTTCTCTTCTTCAGCCTAAATATCCACAGCTCTTTTAAGACACTATTCATAGCTATTCATGGTCTCCAGATCTTTCATCATTTTAGTCTGGCTGCTTTTTTATTTATTAGGTAAAATAATGCCTTGTCCATGTGCTGGGCAAACGCCCTCAGAGGATTTCCTTGCCTAAGGGAACTTGAAGGCACATGCATTGAAGCAGATCAATCCATTCAACATCCCTAGAACTGGGAGGATGCCCTGATACATTCTGACAGCCAGCATGGGATAGTGCCTTTTGGCTGTGCCTCTGGAGCAGGGGTCCCCAAACTATGGCCTACGGCAGGGGTCCTCAAACTAAGGCCCGAGGGGTGGATACAGCCCTCCAAGGTCATTTGCCTGGCCCTCGCTCAGGGTCAACCTAAGTCTGAAATTACTTGAAAGCACACAACAACAACAACAACAAGCAGTCCCACATTTCCCATTGAAATACCAATAAGTTTATGTTTGTTACAATTGTTCTTCATTTTAATTATTATAGTGTTTTTTCACTACAAATAAGATATGTTCAGTGTGCATAGGAATTCAATCATGTTTTTTTCAAATTATAATCCACCCCTCCAACAGTTTGAGGGGCTGTGATCTGGCCCTCTGTTAAAAAAGTTTAAGGACCCCTGGCCTAGGGGCTGGATACGGCCCTCCAAGGTCATTTACCTGGCCCTTACTCAGGGTCAACCTAAGTCTGAAACAACTTGAAAGCACACAATAACAATCCTATCTCATCAGCCACAAACAGGCCCACACTCCCCATTGAAATACTAATAGGTTTATGGCAAAAGTATGATAGCTGGGACCCAATACCGAGACAACACAGCGAGTGAGAGACACGAGTGCAACAGAGTTGTGGCAAGATAGTTTGCCAGAAAAGGGGGGGGGAGGGGGACAACAAACAGCCAAGCATAGTGCTTAAGGCTATCCAGATATCGTATGCAAATATGTTCAAATACGTAACGTCTTCACTTCTTTAATTCTGACCTGCGTCGCGCAACCAGCATTGGGTCCCAGCTATCACACTTCTGCCAAGTTCATATTTGTTAAACTTGTTCTTCATTTGAATTATTGTATTGTTTTTAAGTGTTTTTTTGCATTACAGATAAGATATGTGCAGTGTGCGTAGGAATTCATTCATAGGTTTTTTTTTTCTTCGAATTATAATCAACAATTTAAGGGGCTGTGACCTGGCCCTCTGTTTAAAAGGTTTGAGGACCCCTGCTCTGGAGGCTAGGGTTTGAATCTTTGTTGGCCATAGGGATCCACTCTGTGCCTAGGCTAGTCACGCACTCTCCACCTCAGAGATGAAATGACTGAGGGCCCTTCCAGGCAGGTCCTATATCTCAGGATCTAATCCCATTTTTTCTGCTTTAAACTGGATTATATGAGTCCGCACTGGCAGATAATCAGGAATAAACAGAAAACCTGGGATCAAATGTCTGGAAGGGCCCTTAAAGACACACAACAGCAGCAAGAACAGCACCAACTCATGGTAGCTAATAGGGTACCTATTTTTTGCATTAGACTTTTAGCTGTGCATATATTACAGTGCATATATGTGTGTAGCTATATCTATATATCTATATCTGCACTGTAAAACATATTGTAGAAGAAAGTGTTTTCAGACCTCACAATCTCTGAGGATGCTTGCCATGCATGCATGCGAAAATGGCTCTAGAACAGGGGTCCCCAAACTACGGCCCGTGGGCTGTATGCGGCCCGCCGAGGGCATTTCTCCGGCCCGCGCGGCCTGGCCTGGCCACGCCCACCCGGTGCCGCTCCGCCAATTGCGGACACCCTCTGCTCCAGCCGCTCTGCCTGTGTGGGAGGGAGAAGCCTCCCAAGTGGGTCCTCTGCAGAGCAGAGTGGCCGGAGCAGAGGGTGTCCGCAATTGGTGGAGCGGCACCGGGTGTCTTGTGTCTAAAATTGGTGTCAGTTCGTCCAGTGGTTTTTGAGTTCTGTTAATCCCACAAACGAACATTACATTTTTATTTATATAGAAGTGTGGGTTTTTGTTTTTTGATTTGGGGGGGGGGGGTTTGCACTGCAAATAATATATGTGCAGAGTGCATAGGAATTCATTCATTTTTTTTCAAATTATAATCCGGCCCTCCAACAGTTTGCGGGACTGTGACCCGGCCCTCTGTTCAAAAAGTTTGGGGACCCCTGCTCTAGAACATGGCCATATAGCCCGAAAAAAACCTACAACAACCCAGTGTTTTCTGTTTGCTTAACCCTGAAAGAAGGTCCTCTTGCAGCAACACCAGAGGCACTCCAAGTGGCCAGCTACTGGTCAAAGGACATTTAATCAACTACCAAGCTTGCAAACTTTGTGTTTTTGTTTGTCTGCTTGTTTGTTTGTTAAAA